TCTCTCTCTTTCTTTCTTTCTTTTTGTTTTGTTTTTTGAGACAGGGTTTCTCTGTGTAGCTTTGGAGCCTGTCCTGGAACTCGCTCTGTAGCCCAGGCTGGCCTCAAACTCACAGAGATCCGCCTGCCTCTGCCTCCCGTGTGCTGGGATTAAAGGTGTGTGCCACCACTGCCCGGCTGTTTCAGCCTCTACTGTCAAGACGGTTCCAGGTGCTGACGGCAGCCCCCAGACCACTCTAGCCAGCTTGTCTCACCAACCCCAGGGACAGAGAAGTTCCTTTTTTTTTGTTAGCATCTCCACTGGGTGCTTCACCAGACCCCCCTGTTGGACAACAGACGCGTTTCCTTTTTCGTGTGTCTCTTGTTTCTCTATTCTCATGGGGGATTTGGGGAAGTCGATAAACCTGAAAATGCAAGTGAGGCGAGACCATGGGGGCCGCTGCCCTGCAAAATTTGAGCCTTTGAATGAAAAGGTCAGACTGAGTGGACTCCCCAAGGCACAACTGAAAATCAGGATGGTTATTTGGTCTCTGGTGGTGTATGAGGGATTTGAGGTACTTATTCAGTCTCCGAGTGTGAGTTTATGTTGCCTCCTGCTTATGTGCGGATGCCTGTTTCCTAGTAGAAGGATGATGGTCACTCTTGGGATTCCACATCTTCCGCCGATTCATCTGAGCACAGGTGCTGAGTACAGGTGCTACTGCACCCAGTGTGAAGCACGAAACTCTGGACCCGGAGTCTGGAACTTTGGCTTTGAACCTCTAACAAAACCTCTAAGTTTTGCCCCCTCTAACTCTATGTCGTGGACCCAAGTTCTTGACTATCAATATGTCTGTTTTTCTATTTGTAAAAAGACAGTCAGTCTACTACCCGCCTGTCAAGTTGTTGGGGAGATGAATAATACCAGGCATGTTATGAGTCTGAAAGCACCAAGGGGATGGGGAAAAAAGAAAAAAAAAACATAAAATTTTTTGAAAGTGTTCTCATGGCACTTTTAGAGGTTGCCTGAAATTAATTCTTTTAGTTTTTATGGTCATTTTTGTTTTTCAAAATATATTTAATTTCGAGGCAGGAGGATCTTTGTGAGTTCAAGGCCAGGTCTACAAAGTGAGATCCAGGAAAGGTGCAAAGCTACACAGAGAAACCCTGTCTCAAAAAAACCAATATATATCATTAGTACAGCTTGACTTGATCTTTGCTGACATAATACCCAGGGGTCCATTGATCTTCATGGGATTTATAAATACAACTCTGAAGATCTATCCTTGAAAGGGATTGTGAGACTGCCAGGAGCCATTTTCCAGTGCCTGGGCCATCTGCTTTTGAAATAGATTCTATTTTAAGGGTAAGGAAGGCAGGGTGTGCATTTCAGAATCAGAGTGCCAGAACTGAAAGCACGGTGGTAATCCCCGTATTTTATAGAAGAAGAAACCGAAGGCTGGAGAAGCGAGGAGAGTTAGTTCCCCAAGGTCACACAAGTCACTGGCAGCTGAGGCATGAACCCCAGGCAGCCCTCCTTACCTCCTAACTTCTTTATATGATAAAGAATGTCAAGTATTGTAGCAGCCCGTGTTCTCGGGTCAGAGGAGCCTGGGAAACGCTCCTGGGACTCACCTAAGCGGGGCTGCCTCCAGCTGTCACTGGCTGGCACACTGACCCAGTGCCTTTTCCTGGCAATGTTCCCTCCTGGCTTCTAAGTGAGCTCAGGAGACCATGTCCGGAAAGGACTCTCGCTTCAGCAGCTCTGCACTGGTGCTAATAATCTACTGCATTTCCACATCAGGGTGCCCTGTCTTTAGGGGTGGGGTGGGGTCTCATTCAACAGTTCAGGATGGCCTTGAACTCAAGACCTTTCTTTCTTAGTCTTCGGAATTCTGGGATTAGATTCAAGCACCACCACTCCAGGAAAGATGCTGCCTCCTCCTCCTCCTCCTCCTCCTCCTCCTCCTCCTCCTCTTATCCTTCTTCTTCTTTTCCCTTTTTATTGAAAGTAGATTTTTTTCCTCACACAATGTCCTCCCTCTGCTCCTCCCATTTCCTCCCCATGTAGCCTCCCATCCACATGCACGTTTTTTTATGTCTCTCACTACGAAAAAGAAAAAAACAAAAACAAAAACAGACTTCTAAAGGATAATAATAAAATAAACAAAAACTAACACGTTGGACCGAACAATCAAACAGAAGGGAAAAGGCCCATGAAAAGACACAAGAAACAGACACAGATGCAGAGACCCACCTGTTCGAACTCTCAGGAAGCCCATAGAGACACTAAACTGGAAGCCATCACCTAGATTCAGAGCACCTGTGCAGGGCCTGTGCACGCTGCCTCAGTCTCCGTGAATTCCTCCCTGTGCTCATCCTGTTGATTTAGAGGGCCTTGTTTTCTTGGTGTCCTCCATCCATCCCCTCAGGCTCTTACACTCTTTCTGCCTCCTCTTAAGCAGGGTTCCCTGAGCCCTGAGGGGAGGGATTGGATGGAGACATCCCATTTAGGGCTGAGTGTTCCAAGGCCTCTTACTCTCTGCATCCTGACTGGCTGTGGGTCTCTGTGTTCCCATCTGCTGCCAGAGGAAGTGCCTCTGGTGATGGCTGAGCAAGGCACTGGTCTGTATGAGTATAGCAGAATGCCCTTTGGAGTCATTTTATTATTGTTATGACCCTTTAGCAGCATGGTAGTATTTGGTTTTCCCCCCAGGTCTCTGGACTATCTAGTCTTAGGTCCTTGGCCACCCAAGTAGTGTTGGGTATGGGTTCCATCTCTGGGGAGCGGGCCTCAAGTCAAACCAGATGTTGCTTGGTGACTCCCATGAGCTAGCTGTGTGCCGCCATTGCACTAGCCTGTCTTGCAGGCAGGACCCCATGGAAGATCAAAGGGTTTGTAGGTGGGTTAGTATTTCCATTTCTCCTCTGGTAGCCTGCAGAGGCACGTACTAAAGACACTAGCGCACAGGGGTGAAGGCTCTATGTAGATACCAGCTCGACTTCTCTATGTTCAGTGAGTTAAGTGGGTGTTGTCTTCAGCAATAAGACCTTCCATCAGTTCGTGGAGAGCAACCTTCAGTCTCGGCGACGGCCTGGGTTGTGTGGGGGTTCCCATGGGACCCCTTTGGCCAGAAGCTCAATTAGATGTAACCCATTCCTGATACAGGGAGCTTCCTTTGGTGACAAGAGATGTCCAGTTGGGACGGTGTCTCCCCCATTATTCGGAGATTTTATTTAGACCAATTTCATATGTGTATGTATGCTAGGAGGCTTCCATTCTACCCCTCAAATGGCCCTTAATTTTACCTGACTGACTTTATGTGAATTCTCTCCCTTCTCCCCACTTTCTCCTCCACTTGATTTTCCCCTTCCACCACCCCCAGTCCGTCCATAATTATTTATTCTATTCTATTAGGGAGGTCTATCTGTCTCCACTCGTCCCCTACTTTGTACTTAACCTCTGTGGTTCTATGGATCGTAACGTGGTTATCATTGAATTAACAGCTCCTATCCACATATAAGAAAACACATACCGCATTTGTCTTTCTGGATCTGGGTTACCTCACTTGGGATGATTTTTTTTTTCTAGTTCCATTCATTTACCTATGAATTTCATTTTTTAAAAAATTGCTCCTTCATAAATCTCCTTCTGGTCCTCCCCTAGTGGCTTTGTTCACACAGAAAGGACCCAGAAGCAGGGGTGAGAATGTCATCACTTAAAGTTTTCCAGGTTGGGACTTGCAAGTTATTTGTTTCCCGGATCATTATCTTCACCACCTCCTCTATGACAGAAGCCAGCTAGATGTTTTTTAAAGCTTCCCGGGCTCTTGAGAAGGTGTAACTAACCTGACCACCCACTTCCCTTTTCTGCCCTATCTGGGTCTTCTGTGGTACTCTACCCTGAGCCAACCTGCCAGTCTGTGGTAAAGAAATAGTAAAGAAGTCTTTCCTATCCAGAGGCAAACTATGGCCCTGCCAGAAGGCATTTGCATCTTAATGTGTTCTGAAAGACCTTGGGACTGTGAGGGATCAAAGGAATCTCTGGGGTCCCCTGCTGGTATTTCCTTGTCTGCAGGAGAGAAAGAAGCAGCTTCCCCCAGGTCCTTATGTCATTCTGCATTGGCAACTTCTTTTACTGTCAGGGCCAGATGATCAGACTCAGGGGGCTTGTTTGGCATGATGCATTGTGAACAGTGTTCTCACTGGCCTCAGGAGGCCATCGACCCAGCAACAAGCACCTAGCCCAACCCATTAACAAGGTCTCGAGTTTTCTCAGCTTCAGCTGAGCCTAGTATTGTATGTGCTGGTGTCCCTGATGCCCCTGGGCAAATGGCATGAGAAGGTAGGAAGAAGGACAGGGCAAGGGCACCTTCCTCACCATGTTAAGAACTCCGAGGAAGGCAAAGCCCCCAGAACCTCGGGCCCAGGAGCCCCACCAAGCTAGGCTTAGCCCCCTGACCTCAAGATGCCAATTAGACAAATAACAGGCAATTCGATGTGGTCCCATTGAGAAGGGGAACCAATGGAAGAGGCACAGTAAGGCTCCATCACGTCTCCCTTCCGAGTGCTGACACTTCCGGTTCAGGCATAAGTAGAGCAAGACTTATACATGACCAAGCTGTCCTTGTTGAAGTGTGGCTTGGCCCAATTCTGAACCATCGTTGTCTCGGCTCCAGTCTCTTCTGCAAGGTGGTCTGAGAAGCTGTCAGAGAATTGTGGGAAGGCTCTTAGAGGGAGACAAGCCTCTCCTCTTGCTGGCCCGGGACTTCAACCTTTTCCTTCTCCAGGCATGAGATTGCTGGAAGCTCCAGTTCCTTGGGGACCATTGCTTCATTCAATAGCTTGAGGGGAAAGGGGAGGGGAATACGAGTCTCTTTAGACTATCTTCCTTTCTGCCAGGATGTGACACCACAGCCAAGACTCTGCCCAGAGTTTGCAGCTTGCAAAAACACCCCTTGTTGAACCCAAGGCATTAGTCATGTCAAAGGCCAAAATCACAGTTCCAGTTAAAAATCCTAGGCAAAGCTATTTTAGGTACTAAAACCAGGTACCACCACGTCATTCCGCAAAACAGAGGAAGTTTTCCAATGGGTTCAGCGGCAGAAGCTGATTTTATAGACAGAGAAGCCTAAGCCATAGCAGATTGGTCCCTCCCTCTGCCTGGAAGGTGGAGGTGGGGGGTGGTGGTGGTGCAGAAACAATAGAAAACAAGCCAGGCTTGAAGGTGCGTGCTTGTAATCTCAATGCTTGTGAGGCTGAGGCAGCAGGATTGGGAGTTCAAGACCAGCCTGGGCCACATAGTGAGAGTCTGTCTAAACAAAAAAGAGAAAGAATTGATAGCATGTGTTTCCTTCACCTTCCTGTTTAAGAGTTAAGGTGTAGGGGTTGCTACACACGTGCTGTTCAGTAGCCAAGCAAGGGGCCTTATGTCCTATGTAATCCGTGTGC